TTGGAAACAGTGAAGCCAATGTTGATATCTGGAACATCACCTGCTATAGCTGCTGCCATAACGCAGGTATATCCCAATTCACACCACCTTTTGTGCCGCGTGCACCTGCTTCAAAATGTCATCAAGAGGGTAAGCTTTCCTTTCTTTAGAATTAACCCATTCATCGTATTCGTAGAGGCTACGATCTGATCTTCAAATGTTCTACCGTCTTATGCTAACAAGAAATGTGGAAAGGTAAATCGAAATATGCATTACAATGTATTGTAGCTTCCAACGGTATGTGTCATTTATCGAAGCAGCAGACGGGAATTTCTACCAATATTTGAGAGATCAGTTATTGTCCAAAAAGCACAAGTGGTCGAGCGCTTTAAGACCAGCTGCAGTGCTTCTAGATCAAAGCAATACAAATTTCGTTGAGACGACCCATCGAATTTTAAAGTTGCATAAGCTGAACAGAAAAACACCCGTGTTCAGATCGATATTTAGTGTTCTGCTTCGCATTGGATATTGGATAGAAGCTATAGTTCAAAAGTACTCCACTGAATGCCGTAGCAGAGCTGTGCTGGGTTGCGAGCCTCAACTATGTCGTCTTCAGGAAACACTTACACCTGCTGCATGTCAACTGCTGAAGCGGCACTTGCGTGTTCCTGTTACTGACTTCGTATTGTCGGGGGAGTTCTTCACGGCCGTTGATACTACAGAAACTTACACAGTCTCCAGAAATCCTATTAGTTGTTCCTGTATCTTTTATGTAGAACACAGAGTCGTATGTCGTCACATCTTGGCATATTGTTCGCACGCTAACGTCGAAGTTCACAGAGAAAGCATTGGTGACAGATGGCTGCATTCCAAGAGCTACGTAACCAGAGTAACGATTGACAATGAGTTACCGGTACAAGTCGGGCGGACAAACGTCCAAACATCGATTCACTACTTATGTCGGCGTATGTCCGCTGAACAGCATACCGCTCTACTTAACTATGCTCATCAGTTTCTTTACGATGGATTACCTACTACCATCACAATGCCCATCGTCCGAAATACCACAGGCACCGACCATCAATAGAACGTAGATTTGGATGCTGCCTTAAATGATAACGAGATTGAAGTAATATCTATGAACTCAGAAGAGTTTACGGACCGAGACAATGAAGAAGACGAACGTGCGCACAATGACCGACTGTGTGATATTTGCCATCTACGTCAGCCGCCCAGTGAAATAGCTGATGGAAGTGCTTGGATTTTTTGTCCCTGCAACGCTATGTTTCATTCGTTCTGTGCCTACGACCCAACAGAAGTATCACCTGGGTTCAACTGTCCCATGTGCGGCGCTGTCACGGTCTTATAGTGGAGTCATTGATCAGGACTTAAGGACCTGTGTAGAGACCGAGTAAAGGCCCTTTTCAGGGCCACCCACAATTTGATTTAGATTTTGTTTGAATTTCTTGTTTCCATTTTAAGGAGGAGTCATAAAACCATCAATAATTCATTTCACATTTATATGATTTGGTTACTAGGTACAGTAGAGAAATGTAGTAAGATCAGTTCACTAGTATAACAAGATAATTTGTATTGGGAAGGTCAAGTGAACAGACACTGATCATTCATCACAATTCCATAGTAATGAAGATGTAAAATCACTTTTTCTAGATTAATGATAATATCGATCACTTTATAATTTTGTCAACAGCTTTTAAGGTTTTTCGAATTTAAGGTTTCAGTAAACGATTCCGAACAGAAAACGACGTCATATAATGAAGACTTACATGTCTAACAAGTCATTAATAATAATAATAATGGAACATACGAAATGTAATAATAATGTTTCATATGAGATTTATCACTGCATTGCAAAAATTCGATACAGTGATAAATGTCATTTAGACATTTGATAAATAAATGTACAGTTTAACTTAACAGATTGAAATACGATATTCTAAATACATAAGGGTTACTTGATACAATTGACCTTATTCACATTAAGTCATATAATTGAAATAGAAATTTATTTCGCTAGACATAGGCTTGTTCATTGACACTTAATTCAACCTATATTACACATATGCTTGTCAAAAAGGTTACTTTTTTCAACATTCAACGATTTACTGTTTGACAGTTTAAGAGTAATTATTTTCCCTTTTGACGGAAAATGTACATGCAGTTTTTCATTGTTCGTCCAGTATGTTTAACAAAGGGAACTGTTGGATTTGGAAATATAATTTCAGTCTGTCTAATTAATTGACGTTTACAATGTTATTTACTAATGAAAATAAAAAATTCAGATCATTAATTTGAAAGGCTGTGCACTTAAAAAACATTGGCTGTTAGCATTAGCTGCCAAAAAATATTATGCCCACCTCACAAATACAATTACGGTATTACATGATGACTGATTACAACACTAACATGTATTTTATGTGATCATTAATAAGTGATCAACTACAAATAATCTACAGGTCAAAATATTTTATGCTTTTAATGGATTTACAAAAAAAAGACCTTGATAACAGTATTGCGTTCATTTTCGAAACCTTTTCATAGCTAAACTGATCAACTTTTTGGTATTAAGAATAACGGCTTGCAAAATAACTGAATTATAAAGATTATTTGCTTTTTTCTCAGACATTATTACTAATTTCAGACAGCGTAAAAGTTGCTTCATTTACCCATCTTTTACGGTTAGCGTGACTTCGGCATGCCCCATTCACTTTCTCTTCATCATAATTTATTCATATATTTACACGAATATAACATTAAATGAGCGAACTATGTGTTAAATTAACTTATGGGAATACTTAAATGAAAATTTGTTTACTAATTGTGTATTAAACATTTGACTACCCTTTGAAATCCAATAATCACCATTATCAACTATTAATAAAAACTGTCACTTTTTTCAAAAATTAACTTTCAATGATCTACGCATTGTTATTACTCTTGTCACGATAACTGATAACTGTAGTTGCATTTCTACTTCATAAAAAAATAAGTCATCCCGATATACATTCACTGACAGCAGTATAGCAGGGTAATGAAAAGGATTTGTTTTTCTTTTTTTCGAGGTTAAAATTTTTTACAAAACTCAGATGGAACAATGCGAAAATAGTTGATTTTTGTAAATAATAATCGGATGTAAAAATGTAAATTCTTACATCCAATAAAAGCACTTTATTCTAGTTCGATTTGAACGAATCAGATAACAAAGCTGCACCATTTACAACCAATTAAAAAATTATTACAGGTGACAAAATGTTTGTTCATTTGCACTTGAGCACACACTTTCAAAAACAAATTCACCAATCATCAATTGCTAACATTTTTTCACATACTTCATTTTCGAAAACAAGGGTGGTAGGGGATAATACGAGCCGTGATTCTAATGTCAACCGAAATTGCCCGTCTAATATGGTGAGATAGAAAAGTGACATTATTTCAAATCAATATTTATTTTTACCAATTCAGTATGAATATCATCTAGAGTCAGATCTGTACTTTCATTAACTGTGATGTTAATATTTCTTGTATCAATTAGAAATCAGTATATAAATGAGTGTGTTTCGTTGAGTCATTGAATCTTCATTCGCACCATTCTTCTGTGTTCCTACTTTGAGTTATGAGAATCCCCGTGGTTACAGTTTTCCAAGTATGAGCAGTAGGACCTTGGACATAATACCTTCTCTATACTACTAATTAACAAAAGTGACGTCGGCGATACTAAACTTTATGAACGATCTTTGAATGAATCCTTAGTGACCTTGAGAAATATTAGCCAATCAGGAGACAGTTAGTATGCAGTAAAAATACACAAAACTAAAAATTAAAGCGGATACTGTTCTTTTACATGGCTCCAAAACTTCTCAAGGTCAGATATAGGTTCAGAAGTTCTAAAATCATAGTGCATACGGTACAGGAACTAATCCATATGGCTCCACAGTAGTCAACCTCTGGAGCCATAATAAGGTCTGAAAAATTCTTTTAGCCTCGACCACATAGCTTCAATAATGTTAGTATATTGGTATGGTTTACGGGTTAGGGTTAGAGTTAAGGTTTAGGTGTAGGGTTTAAGGTTATGGGTGAGACTATAAGTTATGGACAACCTTTGAGCGACGCTAGAGTGACTCTGAGATTGTCAACATAATAACTAAGACCAAATGAGGGTTATAAACCTGTGTGAAGAATTCAAATTATGATTTACAGTTCATGATTAAGGCTAGGAATTATACTTAGGGTTTTCATCAAGAACTGACATCAGCTATAATGCCAAAACTTTATTTATCCAAGTGGATAATTGGATTTCGCGTCGAAATCTTAATAATCACTTCTCTTGTTGACGCTGAATTATCACGTCTTCTCTCAAATCCGTTGTAAACCGACTGTACTTAAGGATAAGGTACCGAACTTAGAGCCGTGACCTTGAAACCCAACGAAAGCTTCTTATTGGTTCGTCCATAAAGTTTAGTCTCGCTGTGACGTCCTAGTCCTTCTACAAACAAAATGTGCCGTATGTAACATCTGTCATTGCTAGTTGATAACGATGTCTTAACTATGCCACTTTTTTAGCCCACTTATTTTACTTTATTGAGCTTACTAAAGACAAATATGTGCTAGCAGGATTGACGACTATTATGATGTGTACTCTGATAACAATGCTGTAGTCCAAATAAATATCACCTGGGGTAATCTATTTCATTTGCTACACACTTGTGACAAATATTTTGTCAAAACGATTTTATGAATCATGTCTTCTCAAATAATGTACACTTACTGTTTTAAGTTACCCATTCTTTTATTCATTGACCTGATCATGTCTGCAAACAGATCAATTATAGAAATTATACAGTCATAATATATTAATATGTTCAATGATCATCACTGCTTCATATTGTAAGTCTGTTTCCCAAACAATATTCCATCAATTGGTCAAATTATTGCAAATGTAGATCTGATTGGTTATAGAAATGATGAAATATATCAGATTGGAAAATAATTTATCCGATATCCAGTTTTTCACTTATCTAACAACAAAATATTTCAATAAAGGATACACCTAATAATTCCTTGTTCATCACAGTAGTTTGAGAAAGTAGAAAATCAAACAATGAATGAGACTACTTACGTTACTCAACCTATTCGAACTATTATAACAGTTGAAGGAGCACTTGGTACAATATCAAATATTGCGGCGATCGCTGTAGTGTCTAAAGCAAAATTTGGTTCAAGATTTTCTACATTCATATTTAGAGTTCAACCAATATTTGATTTAGGTGCATGTCTCTCAACAACAGTTTATCTTGCATTTCACTCTATAATGCTTAACAATTATTTGACAGGAATATACATTATTGACTCCCTGATTTGTCATTTTTGGTTTCGAAATTCATTATTCTGGTTATTTTGCGTCTTGAGTGTACAAAATCTAGTTTGTTTATCGTTGGATAGAGTGAGTGCTGTCATATTTACTGGATCAATCAAAGTGTATGCGAACAGATTCTTTATACTATACTTCATTTACATGCTCTCTATGCTTCTAATTTTATACGTACCTGTTCCACTCCTTCGTCGATATGCCTCCAGAGAGTGCGTGATGGATTTTTCATTCCCTTTGATTCAATCAAGAGTATTTATTGACTATATAGTGTATTCTTGGTCTGTATTCGCTTATTTTATACCATTACTAGTAATGCTGAGTAGTCATGCATGGATAATACGCGCCATTAAAAGGACTCACTCTCCAAAGCACAATGTTTTAACAGAAAATGTGGAGTCCAATTTAAGAATAAAACGGAAAATTATTCAGTTAGTTATCACAACAGCAATAATGTCATGTCAACAAGCTATATTGCACTCATTTGAATGCATAGTTCAAATATTCATCGCAACTGGAGTTGTGAAGTATACTTATGGTACTCCAATCGAACAAATGAGTACATTTCTGATGTTATTGGGATGTCTGTCAAATCCATGCATTCTCATTTTCAGTACAGGTGCTTTAAGAAGACGTTTGTCAACATCAATTAGTAGTTTAACGGAAAAAGTGAGTGGTGTTGGGACATTTGGACAATCGAAAAAGTCAACAACACAGTGATTATATGTGCACTTATTTCCTATTTCAGATCAACATTTGCCGTGTAATTATGATGCTTTCATGCAGTAAGTACAGTAAATATATTGAATGTCTTTTCTCAAATAAATAAAGTGATATATATTGAGCCTTGTGTAACTTACTCCTTACTATATCTGTACATTGAATTGTGGAACTGTTTGTAAACTTAATACCTTCACCAGTTAACTAACAGATTGAGCTGCAAATAAATTGATGAATATTGTCTAAAGTTGTATGTTGTTGTGTTCCAACTACATAAATTTAGTCTAATTTGTCTGAGTTTGTCTTCCTACAGTTACACTGATTTCTCAGTTACTTACGTGATAAATCATGGTGAAAACCGAGTGTGTACATTAATATTTATCAGAAAGTTTGGATCTGCATAATACATGTATTTGTGTTATTTCATATGATTGGAGGTAATTATATTCAATTGTTAGAGATACTTTTTAACAGTGCTTGTTATAATTACAATTACAAATTAAATCATAGGATCTTTTGACTAGTTTATACAGTTTAACTTATAAATTCTATTGAAATGATTGTTATTTTTACTTTGGACTTTGTTTTTGTAATACCATTGTTGTATTTTTAGATATGGTTTCACATCTTCACCTTCTATTCATAGGTAGAAGAGAACAAGTTATTAAACCTTGAATATTCATTGGAATCATACCATCGATTTTAATATAAATGTTAACGAGTTCACGAATGAGTACAATATTCAGAAGATTATTTATTGTATTGACTGAAAATCAGTTGATTTATTCACAGAAACTAAGTAAAATTTGAAAGTTTTTTTTTTTTATATTTACAAAAGAATTTGTTTTATTTCCGTTCTACATCATCTTATAGAGTAGTTTATCTGAAGTTTAATTCCTTAATCATTTTATATTCTTCAATTTTTTCGGTGACAAAAATAAGTTTGGAAATTTTTTTTAATATTCAAAACAATGGGATAATTGATTTTGAATCTATGATGCATTGAAATTAGGTTTTATTATTATTTATTTATTATTATTATTAGCTTTATTCAATGTTATATTTTTGGTACAATATGGAATTCTCAGCACAAAGTACTTCAACAAGTTTCCGTTTCTTAATTCTTCGTCCTTCCTGATGATAAATATTGAATGATCGCCAGTTAGAAGTTAGCAGCCCAGTCAATCGACATCTGGATAATGTACACTGTTCTCGCCGCATATAGCCAGCAACCACTATATCTCTGATTAAGCCTTCTGTAACCTTTACAGCGAAAGGTCTTACAGTTTTCAGAAACGCACCTGAAATAGGTTGTGCTATTAATAGGCATAATGATGTATTAAAACAAACGAAATTAGATAACTTGTTGAAATATCTAGATGACAGGAACAGGTAGCCCAGATGTTTAAACAGGCCGCCAAAAAAGTGTTACTTATGTGAACAATTCATTCAGTAAATTAATCGGTTACTTGGTAAAAATATGTATTACTACTGTCCTGTGGATTGAACGATAACGGCCTTACTATCCATCGGACTTGGACTATCTATCCAAGCTACCATGTCTGATTCTATTTACATTTCACACTGTTATCGCACATAGAAAATAAACTGTATCCTTTCTCACCACAAATATCACATTTACCTTACATATACACACAAATATACAAACATGCCTCATATAAATCACCTTGACTTGAATGACATGAGTTTGAATCGGTCAGACCTGTTTTTGATTGATCTCATCTAATATTCTTGCTTTGTTTCTTTATACTGTTTAAATTTTGGATAATTTTAATTTGGTTACTTGTTCTCTGAGGAAGTGGTTTACACTGAGTCACAAAACGTCAGAAAATTTAATTTATTTGCTCATTAAGATGTTACAAATATATTATTTTTATTGACAACAATAAAAATGTAGAAACCTACTAACTTAATGAAGATTTCAAAATTCGTGGTAAGTACTATACTTTTGTAGTTTACTCATTTTCTGGAACAAATTCAACCCGAAAACCTAGCATTCAGGTTACCTAGTAGTTAATCGACACATTGAAGGAGACTTATCCTATCAGCTATTTATTAATGGATAAGTAACTAAAAGGTCAGAGGTCAGGTCAGGGGGAGGAACCAATCGTAGCAAGCGTTCGACCAATTACATTTTATGTAGACAGCAAAAGCTGTTAATTCTAATAGCTCACTTCCTTTTGAAATATAATAAAGGCTTTGCTAACAAACTATCCAACCCAGAAATCAAAATACTTTTAAGAAAGCAGAAATAATATTTTTCATGTCAGATTGAATTATGAAATTATCATTGTATTTGAATCAAACAAAATATTAATAAATCAGTTCAGTGAAAAACAATTCATTATTCCAAGAACGTTTTTATGCTTAAACATTAATTTTTGTTGATACGGAGAAAAAGTTCTTAATGCTCAAACCACAATATCAAGGTGCACAGAAAAAGCTGTGAATCATATGTGGAGAAATTCAAACACTTCATTTCTACCCGATACATTTTATTAGATTTCATCTTTATACTACTTAAACACAGATTTTAATAGTAATTCATCATTTCCAACAAAATAATCACATGAATTTATATGAAAAACTTTACTGACATATTGTCTATGAATGATTCAAATTTAGTACAATGAGACAAGCTGATTAATAAATGAATATTTTTTCTGAATAATTGTCTGTATAGCAAAGATGGATAGTGATTAGAGACTGACCAGTTACAGTCCTAAACATCAATGGGGAGACTCAAACAAACAGTATTAATTGAATTGTCTGTATAGTTGTACTACTGAAATAAAACATCATTAGTTAATAAATAAAATGGGATACTGTTGACTGAAATACACAGTTTTCGTTTTATTTATCTATTTATTTTTACCAGGTTGAGGGTCTAACAAACTGTTCAATGATAAATCTGAATGACCTTCGTCAATAATATACTTTCCCATATTTGAAAATAAGTTCCTTCTCCAAATTAATTATTTTATTATTGTAAACAATACATTATGAGTTGAATATTAATTTTTTTGTTTTAGGAAATTTTTAATGGACAGTTTATTGTAAACAATCCAGTAGAACGCGATTATTGTCTATAACTAATATGATTGATGTATTTGTTTTTAAAAAAGAGAATTATATGATGAATATAAACAGATTGTATATACTTCAGTGTTTAGTTATTTAGCAATGATAAATAACAATAGTTGGGATGTTAAATATTGAATAATAACATATTACAAAATATTACAATATATGAAATCAAACAGTTAATCAAATAAGAGAATGTTTAAAAGGTGAGAAAAATAGAAAAATTTTTCATCAATATGGTTGATGACTGATGATCTTTTTCGTTAAAACTATTCAAGTAAACAAAATCATTTATTAATTATTTTAAGAAAACAAGATGACGTAATGACATCTATTGAGGAAGGAGAGTAAAATGTTGAACTACTGATTCATACCAAATATACTACTAATTGTATGTATATGAAGTGAATAAACTTGATCGAATTTCAATGTCATGTATACCTCACATATACACAGAAATATACAAACATGCCTCATATAAATCAGCTTGACTTGAATGACATGACATCGACTTGGTCAGACCTGTTTTTTGATTGAGCATACATAATATTCTTTCATCTCAAATTTGGTTAATTTTAATTTGGTTATTTATTCTCTGAGGAAGTGGTTTACGCTGAATTACGAAACATCAGAAAATCTACTTTTCCTACTCATTTGGGTATTACAAATATATTAATTTATTTATAACAATCTATTCAATGCTCACCTTGGTAATGAATATTTACATCAGATCAGACAAAAAGTCATATAATATTTATTCAAGATGAATAATTACGGATATCATTCAAAACTATACACTTTACATTTCTCTAGGACGCTAATATTTATTCTATTATAAAATAGATTTGTATATATCACTAACACATTTTATTTAATTATTAATTTTTGTTTGAGAAAAATATTTTAAATGTGATTAACTTGAAAATATTTTAAGTATGGTAATATGTTTAGTAATCATTATTATTATTTATAAGAACTTTCGTCTAAATTAGAGCGAATAGTTTCACAGTATTTGAGCGCCGATTTGATGTAAGACATTAAATACTTACTTACTTAGGCCTGTTACCTCTCGTGGAGGAACATAGGCGGCCCACCAGCATTCTCCATCGAACTCTGTCCTGGGCAATCCTTTCCAGTTCTTTCTAGTTGTTATTCATCTTTTTCATATTTAATGTCATTATTATTATTTTATTGGATTCAATGTTTTAATTTATTTAACTAATATACAATTAAATTTCATTAAATAAAATGCTATTAATCGTTTTTCACATGGTTTTTATTGTTTATTTATTTATTACTTAAACACATTTAAACAATATCAACAATGATCAAAATATTCAATAATGAAAATAAAAATCTGTTAAAGAGGATGATCTTTTACATTTAAAAAGACAAAAACTCATTATTTTGTAATGAAAAGAAAACAAAATACCTGAAAATTAATTGTACTATTATTATTATTATTATTAAATGCACTGTTATTATTGTCTCTCTTACCTTATCTGATCTATATTTATTCTGACCAGAGATCTTAAATTTCCACTTAACATATATACAGATTCAAGCTAACATTCTATATGAGTCATATCAACATTAACAATCTATTATTCTATTTAGTTTGACAATCCTAAATTCACATGCTTTAAACGATGTACTTTGTTTTTAACCTGACCATTTTTTGGATTATTAATTTGGATATATAATTCTAGAACCTGAAGAGAATATTCTTCGTTTAAATATTAGTCTTTTAATATGATGATCTTGAAACAAAAGAAAGCATGCTGAAAGGATATAACCTGTAAAATATTGTTTTAAACATTTGTAATGAACTAATTTATTTGTTATATTAATGATTACAATTATGACCAATGTAAACTAACTGAAACCATAATGAGTTAAATTTGTGATATTTCATTTGTAATTTGTTTAATGAAATGTATATTGAATATTTATGAAAATTCTTATTTTTAAAGATTTAACTCAATAGTTACATAAATATGACTGTAGATCATTTACGTAGATGATTTGTGTCAAGTGATTAGGGGCCTACTCGAATTAGACAGGAATGGTGTCACAAACAAGTTGATTTCGAAATCAAACCTCGCGGTCAGCAGCAAATGTGGGTTACTTCTTCCATGTATCGAGGTACTATGGCTGCTTTGAAGACCGTATAATACAAAGGAAATTAATACAGAAATATAATAGTAAGAATAGGTACAAGGAAGTGACTTCAACTACCATCGCATGAATCAGTCTATGATGTGTGATTAATTGATGCACCTTGGTTGTCCTTGATTTTGGAGAGCACCAGTGAACTGTTCGACATTCAATGTGATTTGGCTAGGGCACAGTGACATTTTACTGGCCCTACGCAACACAGTAAAGAATTACATTAAGCTACAAATTAATCTTGAAACGATTTCTACGTAAAATTAGACATAATAATTTGAGTATTTTGATGCATAGTATTTGACAATGAATATAAAGGATGATGGGATATCTTCTTTTTTGATTACAAGAGTTGACAGAGAATCACATCGGTTACCGGTAAATAGATGAGTAAATAATTAGTTAGTTGTACACAGAATATTATAGAGCACAAATAAGTATCAAAAGTAACACATTCGTCTAAACAAGTATAAAAAAGAAGTTAATTTTATCAACTCATTGTACAAAACAGCACAATATTGTTATGTATTCCTTTGATATGCATTATGAGAATGTACCTGTTGTGTTGATCAATTTGAGCATAGTCTGTTTATTATAAAGTTGGTTATTTTTTCTGTTAGACTTTCGAATAATAATGACAAACGTCTTCTTAATACAGCTGTACTAAAGACAAGAATACACGGATTTGACAAATATCCCAATAATATAAGTAATGTACTCATTTGTTCAATTGGACTGTCATAACTATATCTAAAAATACCAGTTACTTCCAATATTTGACCTATACATTCAAAAAAGTGTAAAACAGTATGCTGAACAGACAAAATTAACGTTGTGATTACCAGTTGACTTATTCTATGTTTAATGTGTAGATTAGACTGCACATTACGTGATAAAAAATGACTAGATGAGTTATGTTCGCTTAAAGTACGTATTACCCAAGCATGACTGACCAGCATGACTAGAACAGGTACACAGTAAGCAAATACAACCCAGGAATATACAAAATACTCAATAAATCCATTTGTATCCATCCATGGAACGGAAAAATCCATTACACAGTGGTTATCAGTATATCGACGAAGAAGTGGTGTAGGGGTATATAAAATGAGAACCATAACAAGCATATAAATAAAGTATATTATAAAGAATCTGTTCGTATATACTTTACGTGACCTAAGAAATATCACAGAACTCACTCGATCCAATGATATACAAACTAGATTTTGCACACTTAAGATACATGGCAACCAGAATAATGAATTTTGAAACCAAAAGTGGCATAAAAGTCTATCAATAATATATAATCCTGTAAATTTATTATAAACTTTAGTAAACTGAATGATATAATAGGTTACTGTTAAGAAACATGCACTCAAATCAAATATTGGTTGTGCTCTAAAAACAAATGTAGTAAATTTTGAACCAAATTGTGAAGTGAACACAAGAGCTATGGCAACAATATTGAATATTGTACCAAATATTCCTTCAGTTGTAACAATTATTTGAATAGATGAGCTCAAGTCAACGGTTTTATTCATTATTTAATTTATATGTTGATATAATGAATATGGAGTTATGAGATGTAGGGTTTTTTGAAATAGGTTGTTACGTCAAACAAGCTGAAAACTGTATAGTAAGTAAACTACTTCCAAACTTTATATATATCATAGTTTTTTGTAACCAATCAGATCTACATTTAAAATAGTCTGATATATTATAAAATATTGTCTAGCTAACAGATCATTCACAATGTTGACTATTTATAAACTATATACAGAAATATTCGTATTGTTTTCATGGCTTTGTGGTTCATTTTGATCATATGAACAAATGTTTGTTAAAATAAGCATTCGAATTCCTATCTAAGCGATTAATAGTCAATAGTGAACTGATTGAGATCATTAATTTTTTTGATTTGATAAAACAATGGAAATATTTATTAAAATAATAAATTTCCCATTTACTATTATTATTTTTAATATCAGACAAACTATAAGTAAACACAAACAAAACAGTTGGAAGCATAAGTCAATTCAAGCTAGACCACCATGGAAAAGCCGGAAGCATTGGACGGCCGTTTCGTTATATTGTGGGACTCCTCTTCAGTACATATCCACGACCTCGCCTCGAGAGATTCGAACCCAGGACCTACCGGTCTCGCGCCAGAGCACTTAACCGATATTCCACTGAGCCGGCATCCGATGGTGTTAATGTCTAACTTCAACCAATCTACGAAGTTGAGCAACCGTTGGGTTCGTATCTCGCGAGGCGAGGTCGTGGGTGCGCACTGTTAAGGAGTCCCACAATAGGACGAAATGGCCGTTCAGTGATTCCAGGTTTTCCTTGGTGATCTAGCTTCAACTGCCTTATGATTTCAACTATGAAAATACTGAAATCTCCACAAAACCCCTTCTGATAACAAAAAATAACTTTAATACTGATAAATACTCTCTCTCTATTTCATTCTTCTGATTATTTATTCTGATTATATATGTTGTTCTAAATCACAATATGGGAATTTTTCAAATTTTGAAATCACGTGGGGATCCGATTGCATTTAAGGTACTCAATGAGTTCCTGAAGTTTAATTCTCGTCTCACAGAAGCGGAAACATCATTGGAGTTTATTAATGATTGTGTACGGACTGATAGATATCCTAAAACATATGGGAAATCTTTAAGCCGGAACAAAATTTATCCTAATTCTCGAACCCTTAAATGACAGGCAATCAACCAGACAGATTCATTAAAATTGTACATAAACAATCTACGGTAGATAATCTACCACCAGAAATAAAATCACAGTTTATGGATTACACTAACATGGTAGCTAAAAGTAGATCAGAGAAATTAGACACAAAACTAATTCAGTCACTGGAACATCATAAACCTGAAAGAAAATTTCCTATGGACCCTGAGCTGTACGTTCATAACTTTTCTAGTGTTACGTTAGACAGATTATAATTAAAGGCTTTGTCGCTTGGCCCTAGATTTTGTGACTATAGGAATAAAATAAATCAACTTGATACAGATGAACAGTTTGAAAACTTATTTGTAAAAGAATCAAAGCTGCCTCCAGAGATCATAAAATATTTAAACTATTTTACGATGAAATTCGAAAATACAAAATTGAAGTAGACTTTGAGATTTTAAGGAAACAAAAGACTATTGGGTAAACACAAAATAATGTAATTAATAATTATTTAAGAATAAAATAAACATGATATGTGAAAAAATTATGCATTTAGATTTAAGTAAGGGTTTCCGTTGTTTGTCATCACAGAATAGCTCTTAAAAGGAGAATGTAAAACGATCACTAGTTCGATACAGGAGCATTTAATTAACTGTTGACACATCGCTCCAAAAGACTCTTCTTTTAGAGTAATTTACAGAGTCAAAGGAACCTGATCGAAGGGGGGGGGTCAAATCAATATTTTATGCACTTCTGAGGCATTAGCAATCCACAAACTGAAGCCTGAGCTTTGCGTGCAGAAACGATTTGTTCAACCTCTCACCCTTCCTTGATCCTAACTCCCTTTCTGGTTGTCGTTTTTTTTCTGCACTTTTATTTTTCTTTTAAATTACTGTTTTGCATTCTAAACACTAATCGGTTATTATCAGAAGGGGTTTTGTGGAGATTTTAGTATTTTATAGAGTTGAGATCATGAGTCAATTGAAGGTTTTCCATGGTAGTCTAGCTTCAATTGACTCATGATCTCAACTCTATAAAATACTAAAATCTCAACAAAACCCCTTCTGATAATAATCAGGTGCTCACTAGTGACTGACTCCTTGAGGTATTTCCTGGAGTTCTAGTGAGAAGCAGTAACCGGTGGAGTTCAACCAGGTCTGTTGTGAGATAGGAACTCACTGATGACATTGGTGAATGGTTGCTCAATTTCGTGAATCAGTTGAAGTTAGAAATTAACACCGTTGGATGCCAGCTCAGTGGTCTATCGGTTAAGGGCTTCGGCTCGAAACTGGTAGGTCCTGGGTTCGAATCCCGCGAGAGTGGGTTCGTGGACGCGCACTGCTGAGGAGTCCCATAATAGGACGAAACGGCCGTCCAGTGCTTCCAGGTTTTCCATGGTAGTCTAGCTTCAATTGACTCATGATCTCAACTCTATAAAATACTAAAATCTCCACAAAACCCCTTCTGATAATAATCAGGTGCTCACTAGTGACTGACTCCTTGAGGTATTTCCTGGAGTTCTAGTGAGAAGCAGTAACCGGTGGAGTTCAACCAGGTCTGTTGTGAGATAGGAACTCACTGATGACATTGGTGAATGGTTGCTCAATTTCGTGAATCAGTTGAAGTTAGAAATTAACACCGTTGGATGCCAGCTCAGTGGTCTATCGGTTAAGGGCTTCGGCTCGAAACTGGTAGGTCCTGGGTTCGAATCCCGCGAGAGTGGGTTCGTGGACGCGCACTGCTGAGGAGTCCCATAATAGGACGAAACGGCCGTCCAGTGCTTCCAGGTTTTCCATGGTAGTCTAGCTTCAATTGACTCATGATCTCAACTCTATAAAATACTAATCGGTTATTATTATTAGTATTATTACCTTATACAAGTTATATTGATTATTATTCAGTCTATTATGATGACCTTTGTGTTTGTCGCTTTTCTTCATATCTGTCAATTGGACTGTTATCTGACCCATAAATTATTTTCTTCCTTACCCCTTGATTAGTACGTAACCTCATTTGTTATTTATTGTCGAATCCATTTATAATGCAATAACTTCTAGCCTCCTATAGACATATATTTTCCACATCACTATATATACGAATGTACAGCTTAAGTAAATGATTTCGTCGAAAAAGCAAATTTTCTTCGCTGAATTCTCTTTTTCTTATTCAATGACATTATGAGTTATTTTAATCACAGAATATCTTTTCTATTTGATTTTCTGGGTGTTTTTTTTTTGCTGATTTTACTTCATCTATCTATCTATCTAAATTAGATTGAATCTTCCTTTAGTAGGAATCATGGTTAGTCGGTGTATAATATTAGTTATTTTTTACCATAAATTCTAACTTTACTTATTTGGTGAAAATGAGTTTATAACTCAAAAAAATTGAGAATGGGTTTGTTACGTAAAATTTTTTTGATCAAACATTAATTATTTCAGAAACTGAGATTTTTATGGACAAGCAATGTGTTGGAAAAGACTAGTTTTACAAGTGAATTCAAACTGACATGGTTTTACTCAAGGTATCATCGATTGTTGTTAGACATCAACTTGACAACGAAAACTATGTTTCAATAAGCTGATTCTTTAGATGATTTGTTTACATTTAGTAAACATTGATTGATCAATAACTTAGTGTATGAACATAATTTACAAAATCTTAGAGTCAAACTGTTGTAAAAATAAATACCACTAGTTTTTAGAGTCATGTACTTACTTGGACCTAACAGTTGGGAATCACATATTTTTTGTTCAGTAATACTGTTTGATTATGACTGTTGTTAGACTGGAGAAGTCTAGACGTACCACTTGGCCTTGAGAAATTCAAATAGCTAGTATGCCATCTCAGGGTTATGTAGCATGTGAAACATTATAGACGAAACACGCTATAGGAGGATTCATAAAATATGCCCAATCAAGGTCTCAACCTACATGTCCTTATTTGAATCGTAAGGACGTATAAAAATGTCAGTGGTTAGTGTACATATTCATTCATTTCGTCAATTTAAGCTTCCTAGTCACTTATCAGTCTTTTCTTCTACATCTCTGGTTGGAAAACTGCATACCAAAAGAGCGTATTTCAATCTCATTTCGTGGATTATAACAACCACATCTATGAAATGATTTTAGTTCCTTAATATGTTCTACGGGATTCCTATAAATATTCATTCATATTATTTTCCGTATCACTTATCTGCAAATGTAACCTGACCGTAAATATAGAATGAGAAATGGGTACAGTGAGTTTTTGATATTTATTCTGGCTTGCGTCTTTTCTAGCAAGGTTGTTTTCTACGAGATAGGGTTGCTGACCCCATGTCCAAACTCCCTCATTTATCCGATCTTGGGACCGCCAGTAACCCTAGAAGAGATACGGGCGAAGTTCGTCTTCTTATTGCACTATCCAAATTTGCCACCAGTTTGTATTATATATTTGTTATCCATACAATATTTCATCTACCATTCAAATTATTTTAAATGAAGTTCTGATTGGTCATTAAAACTAATAAATATACAAGATTGAGAATAGTTTGTCCAATATTAAGTTATACACTTTTCAAATGCAAATCAATTTTTCATTTTATCTTTTTATCTTTGTTTTGGTAAACAGTAAACAACATAAATAGAGTTAAACAATGAATGGGACTGTTCACATTAGCTTACCTATTCGGATTGTTATTACAAATGAAGGAATATTTGGCATAATATTAAATATTACCGCCATCACTGTTGTATTCACTTCACAGTTTGGTTCAAAATTTACTACATTTGTTTTTAGAGCACAACCAATATTTGATTTGAGTGCATGTCTCTCAACAGCAATGTACTACTTGGCTGAATCTATGTCACTTTCCAATAACGGAACTGGAATATATATTATTGATGCCATAATTTGTCATCTTTGGTTTAGAAATGGATTATTCTGGTTGCCATGTGTCTTAATTGTGCAAAATCTAGTTTGTATATCTTTGGATCGAGTTAGTTCTGTCCTATTTCTTGGATCACTCAAAGCGTATACGAACATATACTTTTTTGTATACTTTGTTTACATGCTCAGTATGTTTTTAATTTTGTACATACCTACACCACTTCTTCGTCGTTATACTGATGGCCGATGTGTTATGGATTTTTCATTCCCTTGGATTCAGACGAAAGTATTTCTTGATTATATTGTGTATTCATGGGTTGTGTTTTCTTATTTTGTTCCAGTTTTAGTCACATTAATTAGCCATGCGTGGATCATACGTGTATTAAAAACGCCTAGGTCTTCTCATCGTAATTGCGCAACACAAAATTTTGAAGCTACTTTACAAATACAGAGGAAAATTACTCAGTTAGTGATTACAACAGCAATAATGTCATGTCAACAAGCTATATTACACTCATTTGAATGCATAGTTCAAATATTAATCACAACAGAAGTCGTGGCGTATACTTATGGTACTACATTTGAACAGATGAGCACATGTCTTATGTTATTGGGATGTATGTTAAATCCATGTATTCTCATTTTCAGTACAGCTCCTTTGAGAAAACGTTTATTATCATCAGTTAAAAGTGTCACAGAGAAAATTAGCAGCATCGGAGGAGTAGGAAAACACACAGAATCAATAATGCAATGAATATATATACATATATATATATCTTTCCCTTTTAAATCAATGTTACCTGTCTAGTTCTATACTTTTTGTACAGTGGAAAAGATTGTTGAATTTTCTGTCAATAAATCAGTTTATTGTGTTAAAACTTGGTCAACTTACTCCATATTTTGTCTCGTAAACAATTATGCTCGTAAACTGAAACTTCAAGCTCTATGAATACCTAATAAATCTGAACTGTTTAGAAGTAGATATAAAATTTAATGTTGCTGTATCTCAGATACACTAGTTGCTCATCATTAATCAATATACGTTTGTAAATTAAATATATTAAATCTAATCATTTTAAGACGATTCTTTCAAACTCAATCATGATTCATTATGGAAGAATTAATATCGAGGAGTTGTTATGATGGCTATAAGTAAGAGAACTCTTCAGTGTAGTATTTAACATACTGATCTGGTTATATAGTAATCCAAATTGTATCAAAATCTTAAACATACTTCACTTAAAATTAAACTTCCATTCAACTTAAAAAACTGTTTCCACTTCGATCTGACCATTAATCAATCAAGTATTTTATGCACTAATTTATTTCAAAGGGAATAGAAATAAAGGGGGCTCATTAATCTAGAATAAAAATGAAATCAGAATATGGAATTAAGTGTTTTTTGTTTAATAGTTAGCGATATGGCTTTGGACTAGTAATCATGTTCCATGAATCAAATAATTTCATTGGAATGATGTACCGATCTAAGTTAGACTATCATTGAAAACAGCCCAGTGCTTCCAGGCCTTAGATCGGTTCATGAATTCAATGAAATCCAACAATCTCCACAACTCCTTACTGAAAGCTAACTAATTATTATAGGAAATCAAAGTTCCAAAACTGTAAATGCAGTGTACATTATTTTACACGTTAAATTTCAAATGCTATGGGAAGACACTTCAAGGAAGTTATTAATGTACAAACATCAGATTATTATTTCAACATACATATACATCTATAAGAACTCTCGTCTAAATTAGAACGAATAGTTTCACAGTATTTGAGAGCCGAGTTGAAGTAAGACATTAAATAGGAATAATATATTTGTAAAATCTCAGCGAATGAATTTTTTAAATTAAATCCAACGTTTCGCCTGGCAATCTGGTCCAAGCTTTTTCAAGGAATTATAATCAAACATCAAAATTATCGAATATATATTCGAAACCTAAAATGTATATACTTTTGTAGCATTCACAAAAACTTAATAATAAAGGTTGGTGTTCATCTGTCAGTCATAATATCTTTAACCTGTTTGCATACAAACCAAAGAATAACATCTACCCATTACATGTATCGTGTTATATAGAACAGATTTTGATGTTTCATAAAGATCAGTAGCTCTCTGTATTATTTTAAAAGAATACACAAGACTATTTAAGATAAAAATAGAATATGCGACTTCTTTCGAACATTCAATACATAAATAATGCAGTCTGTTTTTACAGCATCATATTTGTTTGGTTTAATACACGACGAAGCCAACCATTCATATACGTGGATTAGAAAAGAAACTGCTCGTATTACTTTATACACTCTATGCGAGTATGCATCAGTAGTAAATATCAAAAGGAAATACAGAACAGCTCGTATGGTTATTATCATCTCCACAGATACCGTATAGTGTTTGCCCTAGTTTTATTTTCTATCTCGCTTACTTCTGTTGTTTCTTCATTCTATGATTGTAAATATCTTGTAGATCTATATTCTATCATTTGTCAATCTAAATTATGAATAATGTTTTGATTTCAATTAAGACAAAAGTAATCTGCAGGTAGGAGAAATTAACAATTGTATTCTATTAGATTTTAAATATTTTAATAAATATCTACTCGACCAATCGCAATATGCTTTATGACTACCAATAGAGATGAAGGAAGATTATTCTTCTTAAATTGTGATAGGGAATCACAACAATAAGGTTTAACCTAAATAATACATGATAGTTACAACTGAAGACGTTGAAGGTTCAAAATCAGCACATTGCATGTTTCATTTTTAAAAAATTTACAAAGGGAACATTCACACTGTCCAATAATTGAACTAGTTGCTAATAAAGTATCCCAGTTACAATGATATAATAATTTTTGGTATGTTTACTTTATATCCATTCGGACATCAGATATCAACCATATTTTTCTTAGATTTGGTAGTTTCATATTGATATATAGAAACAGGTTACTAATAAATGACTTGCAGAAGCCTAAATCCGTGAAAAATTAGCATGAATATTCGTATCATCAACAAATCAATCTATGAGTAACTAAAATGCATCTCTTGGATATAATTCAGAATAAATGATTACACTAAAAGTTTTGAAATCATAATTTGAACTCATATTAATAGTGTCATTAAAAGAAATGAACATTAGAAAAAAGTAAATATCGACCTATGGGATTATTAATATTGCCCTATAATTTATGGAAAATGTCTTCTCGGTGGCATTCAAAATGATAGTAAGAAAGTTTAGTAGAAACAGATTCAAATACACTGCTATAATCTATTCTTTATTCAGAATGATAAAATAGTCAAAGAATATGGAATTAAAAAGAAATTGATTACTTGATATTTAGAGGATTCTTTTATTAAATCCATAGTGTTTGATTCTTCTGATTTATCATTTTCATAGTGATTTGGGTAGTTCAATTTTCTACAATGAATTTTGTTATGCTAACTACTTTATGTATTTGTTATTTTATGATTATCAGAAGGGGTTTTGTGGAGATTTAGTATTTTTCATAGTTGAAAGCGTTAGTCAATTGAAGCTAGACCACCATCGAAAACATGGGAACACTGGACGGCCGTTTCGTCCCATTATGGGACTCCTCAGCAGTGCGCATCCACGAACCCGCTCTCGCGAGATTCGAACCCAGGACCTACCAGTCTCGAGCCGAAGCCCTTAACCGATAGACCACTGAACTGGCATCCAACGGTGTTAATGTCTAACTTCAACTGATCCACGAAGTTGAGCAACCATTCACCAATTGCTTTCAACTATTTTATGATTATTTATGTTTGTTTGCGTATAATCATTCTGAATTTCTTTCGTTTGTAATCCATAGTTTTATGTACTTCGAAGAACAGGATATTAATTCGTGTCTCGAAACACCACAAATATCTTCATAGGTAATTTACAAAGTATAATAATGTCTCTGAATAACGTTTTCAAATTCGGGATCGCCTATACCAACATTTAAATGATTACAAAGTTAACTATGAAACTTTCCATCAAAAATTGCATTTAGAAGATTGGTTTTTAGTGTTGTAGAAAAAAACACTTGATTGATTTTCTGATTTGTAGAATGAATTTATTCGTTAAATTGTGCTATTTTACATATATCAGATGAGATAACATTGAATAGAACTGTTGATAAAAGTTCAAATTCATCGTTTGGAAAGGAAAGACATGTTTGAGAAAACTCAATATTATTCAGTGAACCATGTACCTCTCCACCAATTAAAACAGTGAAAAGAGAGGGAATGTTATGGTCCTGTCGACTGGTGCAAACCGCCTTACATTTCATCATCGCATGAACTATGTCAACACATTTAGACTAGTAGTCACACTACAATTCGATCGATATAACACGATTAGCAGTAAAAAGTACTTAAAAAACATGACGTTGATCACTACTCAATGATTGGTTGAATAGTGTATGAATAAATTTACAGTATTTATAAATATAACTGATGAGAATTCTTTCGTATAATTCGAATTGTGTTTCCTTTAATTGATTGTATGACATGTAAACAGTGCGCATCCACGATCCAGGCCTCTCAAGATTAGAACCCAGGAGCTACCAGTCTCGTGCCAGAGTACTTAACTGATAGACCACTGAGTCAAGATCTAATGTTTGTTTATTTAGTTTGTCATTTGGTTTTTATATTGTTATTGATTTCTTTCTACAATTTTTACTGTGTAAATATGCCGAACCTTTAGAAATATCGATCCCTGTACCAGTCAGTAACTCCGCCTGTAGCTCCTCTGGGGGTTACTGCCGGTCCCAAGACCGGGTAAAGGAGGAGGGTTGGGCATGGGGTTAGCGACCCCATCCCGTAGAAAATCAACTCGCTAAAAAACGCTAACCAAAAAAATCATTCAAACTCTGCCCCGGGAGTAGAAGGAATAATTATGACGTCTCATGATGAAAGCCGAGTTCCTTCGGAAGTCATGAGGCTGATGCACATTCTTACAACCAGAGCGACAATTTTTATAGGTGCATGGAATGTCCGAACTATGTGGGAGACCGGAAGAATCTTCCAAATTGCTGCAGAAATGAGAAAATACAACCTGGAGGTTCTTGGAATCAGCGAAACACATTGGACGCAGGTTGGACAACAACGACTGTTTTCAGGAGAACTTCTGTTATACTCCGGTCATGAAGAAGAAAATGCCCCACATACACAAGGAGTTGCATTGATGCTGTCCAGAAAAGCACAAAATGCACTTATAGGATGGGAATCTCATGGACCGAGGATCATCAAAGCTTCCTTCAGAACAAAGAGAGAGGGCATTACAATGAACGTCATCCAATGCTATGCGCCTACCATTGACTACGATGAAGACGCTAAAGACCAATTCTACGATAGGCTGCAGTCGATCTTCGAGAAGTGCCCAACCAAGGACCTGACCATTCTGATTGGAGATTTCAATGCTAAGGTTGGAATGAACAACACTGGATACGAAGACGTCATGGGACAACATGGACTGGGAGAAAGGAACGAAAATGGTGAGAGATTTGCAAACCTATGTCCCTTCAATAAACTGGTCATAGGTGGCACCATATTTCCACATAAAAACATACACAAAGCCACTTGGATTTCACCCGATCACACTACACAAAATCAAATCGACCATGTCTGCATCAACAAAAAGTTCAGGAGGACGATGGAGGATGTGAGAACCAGGAGAGGAGCTGATATAGCATCCGATCATCATTTGCTGGTCGCCAAGATGAAACTAAAACTCAAGAAGCA